GGGCCTGAGGGATTGCCCTGGGCTCGGGTCCCACAGCCCTGGCGGCTCACCCCACTGGGGTGTTGAGTCCCCGCCTCTTCCTAAGGCCACTGTGGGCCACGAAGGTCCACTGTCCGCCCCCACTTTGGTCTTCAGCCGCCCTCCGGTGCGGCCCGACAAGGCCCCGTTGGACACGCCCCTTTGTTACCTCTTGTCCGAGGCTCCCATGCAGGCTCACTCCTAGGTCTCAGCGCCGGCTTGCCCCGACGCTGCTCTCTCGGCTCCTGCCTCCGGTTCTTCCATGAGTGCTGTCGCTGGCTCCGCTGAAGGTGCGGCTGCTGGATCCCCTGTCGGCGTTGCTCCCACCTTTACTGCCACCTCTGCTGCTGATGTTGCTGCCGGCTTTCCAGCTGGCTTTGCTGGCGGCATTACAGCCCGCTTCCCTGCCGGCTCTGCCGTCGGCCGTTCAGGCGGCTTTGTCAGCGTCGCTGCCGACTTCGTCGGAGCCTCTCCTGGCTCTGCACCCGGCTTCCCATGCTGCCGGGCGCGGCGGCTGATTCCCTCCGTGTGAGGGCTCTCCCCTCAAGCCTCCACTTGTCAGCAGCCCCGCTGCATTGTTGGGGCCGCTTTTTATCTTTCCCGGGTGGCGTCTTCCACCCACGCTGCTCAGCCGCAGCTGTATATACGCGTGGCTAATTACCCTCACTGGTGGTTTCACCACGCGCCTCTCCTCCGGCTCTCTGGGCTCTGCGATAGGTAAGTGGGGCTCTCCTTTGGCCTGGGGTCCTCCTGCCACCCCAGCTCCCCTGGGACAGGCACGATGGCATGATGGCTGGTTTCAGCCCCTGAGATTGTTGGGGCACCAAGTGAAGCATTGGTGGCACTTCCGGCAGCCCCCTTCCCAATCAGCGATCAGCTGCTGGATATCAGGAGGCACCAGTCACCCATGCTCATGATTTACTTCATAGTTCTGCTGCCTGTGCCCCAGCAAAGTAAACAGCATTTCAAGCCATGGTGACCCCACAGATCAGCACTGCTCAGTATGTATGTGTACTCGGATACCCACCACAAAGCATCAATGTGCTAATTAGCCGCCCAATCATGAGTGGAACCAGGTGTTCTTGTCATGGGTTCTGGGATGCTCCAACAATTTATGTGTAGATGAGGTGCAGAGCAGCCTGGTCTGGCTCTACCTCATTGAGGGTGGGGCCACACTAATCCTATGTGACAGGGTGAGAAAAGAGGCAACAGGGATTCTGGGTGAACTGATGGGGTCCTGTTTGGTTATGTTTGCCAGACATTTAAGGCTGATGAAGAAACAGGAATCATTGGAAACAGGAAAAAAAGATGCAGCTCAGCTGTGGGAGTGAAGACAAAGTTGAAATGCATTTAATGTAGTTGCTCACCATGACTTGTAAAAAGAGCAGTGCTGAGGGTTGATGTACACAATGGGAACTACTATATATCTTATTCAGATGGGCTATGCTAACCTATCCTTGTATGTTTTCCTAATGTGGGCCATGTGTTTTATAGTTATGCTCAGTGCTGGCTGCATTTAATCAATTTCATATTTTTTATGACTAAGCACGTGCTGCTTTTGGCATCAGTTTAATGATAGGCATATGTATTTAATGAGGTCTCCTTGTATGGAAATATAAGACAAGGGGTTTTTCCCCCTATGCTGACTGGGGGGAAAAAATCAGTATTTAAGTATTGTATTTAGTAAGTTAGGTACATATTTTTCAACATGCAATTTGTTGGGGAGAGCCATCACAAGACATTTTTTCTCAGTTTGCATAGAGTAGAAATCCTCCAGAGGCGCAAATCTGCAGCTCATCCCACTTCCTGGACACTAGTGCCATGGCAGTCTCATTGCAGGGAGATGGGCAAATCTGGAGACAGGAGCTGGGTTACATTAAAAATCAGGAGAGAGGCACATAATGGAAATATCCCACTACATAGTCTTTGATTGTGATATGACATTTATCTTTGCGAATTAAGGTATCAGGTTTCTCTCATAAATGAAGATAAATGCTATAGGCTTAAGCTGTTATGTAAATAAGCACTGAGATGCTTGGGGTTGCCTTAGGAGATCAGGAGGTAGTTGCATTCTTCAGTACTGAGTGCAAAATATGAAAAGGCAGAATCGTTTGAACTTCAGGCTGCGAAATAATTTTAGGTGATCCTGTGATACTTGGTTGTTGGTAATTAGCACTTAAACAGTAAATTCTGCAGCTAGTATATAATGCACTCATGTTTATCTTTGCATAGGTATGCTCAAATATAAATGTTATGTTGAGAAATACTAGTCGAAATGAGGTAACCTTTTGTCTTTCCTTGAGCTCACTGGGAATTGAGGCCCCTTAGTACCAGTACTGTGACAGGATTGGGTCTCTGTGTTCTTCACAAGAAGTAAGGCAGGAAATCTGTTAAAAATATAACTGGTACAGGCCCAGGTTTTTGGGGGTTTTTTTGGTTTATATTTGGAGTGTAGGACTGGATAAACTTACTGGGACACTGAGTCTAGTCTCCTGCTCCTGCTCTCGCAGGTAACCGTATTATATATTCTGTTTACTAAACTGATCCAGCTTTATCTTTAAAATAATTTTGCTCCCACTACTCCTATAAGAAGGCTGTTCTATAACCTCATCAGTCTAATAGTTAGAATCCTTCTTCAGCTTTCCAGCCCGCATTTGTTTATGGAGAGTTCATACCTATTTGTTCTTGTGCTGATGTTGCCCTTTAACTTACATGGTTCTTCCTTTCCTGGTCTCTACCCCTCTGCATTTGTACACATCAGACATACTGCTCCTCAGTTTTGGTATTTACACTGTAATTGGGATCAAATTCTTGTTCTTACTCACACAAATACTTTTTTTAATGTGTTACTACACTTCAGAACGTGGCTCAGGCTCCTCATGGAGGTTGGGAGGGAAGTGGCCTTCCATTTGTGAAATGATTTCCTGTTTCATAATAAAGCTGACTATCATTTTCTTTTCTAATCCATGACCATATTAATTGTTGTGCTCTCTCACAATCAGTGTGTCATCTAAGCACCATAGTTTTGTAAATGACAGGAGATCATAGAGGAGAAGATGAGAGCTGTTTCTTTTATGGAATTTTTCCACTATGGAGGGAAGTTATGGTTAGGCTCCCTTTGTGTCTGATATCAGTATTTCAGATTAGGGGTGAATGGCATCTCGTCCTACTGAAGGGATTAAAGCAGTATGCAGAGAGAGTGAAGACGATTTGGGGGATTATTAAAGCCCCAAACATGGTGGTGACTGGACATCATGTCCAGGTTGGCAAAAAGAAGCAAAAGGTTCCTGAGGAGCTAGAGATCAGTATGCCTGATCTATCCATATGCATAAATCAGTTCTTAGAGCAGAGTCATCTATAGCAACTATAAATCACTTAGTAGAGCAGAGTCATCTCTAAGCAGGCAGTGGTTAGCAGTAATTTCTGGTACTAGAACCTGACCAGTTACACTGGCAATGGAGCTGAACTATTTTTAGTTATCTGACATAGTCCTTCATTGATTAATGAGATTATACTTGGCCATGAATAATCCAATAAATCTGTTTCATGGATGATTGTAAAGTCTGGTTTTGTTGTGATTTGGAGAAAACCCCAAAAATTCTCTTGGAAGGGATGTGGACCCCAAGTCCTGCGGCATTCATTCTGCCAAGTGGGTAGGTCTGAAGAGACAAACTTAAAAGCCTGGACTCTCTGGCTTTCAAAAAAGCTGCAAATATAAAGTTCATTGCAAGATTCTAATTTGTTTTCTCTTCTAGCTTCAAGAATGGGGACATCCATCTAAAGAGGATCCTACCCAAATATTTGTACTCTCCAGTCTCATTCTTCTAAAGACTCATCCCTTTCAGAATGGCTGGAAAGGCTCCACCAGGGATAAACAAAAAGTCTTCACGGTCTACCCTTTCCCTTCCACCAGAACCAGTGGAGATCATTAGGAGCAAATCTTGCTCCAGGAGAGTTAAAATAAATGTAGGTGGACTCAACCATGAAGTCCTATGGAGGACTTTGGATAGACTTCCAAGGACACGATTAGGAAAACTCAGAGACTGCAATACTCATGAATCTCTGCTGGAAGTGTGTGATGATTATAATCTGAATGAGAATGAATATTTCTTTGATCGACACCCAGGAGCCTTCACCTCCATTTTGAATTTCTACAGGACAGGTAAATTGCACATGATGGAAGAAATGTGTGCTCTCTCTTTTGGCCAAGAACTTGATTACTGGGGGATTGATGAAATATATTTAGAATCTTGCTGCCAGGCAAGATACCACCAGAAGAAAGAACAAATGAATGAGGAACTAAGGAGAGAGGCAGAGACCTTGAGAGAGAGAGAAGGGGAAGAATTTGATAATACTTGTTGTCCAGACAAAAGGAAGAAACTCTGGGACTTGCTGGAGAAACCCAACTCATCTGTGGCTGCAAAGGTAGGATAAAAAATATGTACAACAGCAAATTAAGAATGCATGATTTGTACATTTCAATTTCAGCAGTAACTTTTACTAAATACATTTCATATGAAGGACAAAAAACAAGAGTCCATATGTTGGCTCATGAATACACTTATGAAATATCTATTCCAAATCCCACTGAAATCAGTGTCAGGGATCCTTGACTTCATTGGGCTTTGGATCTAGCCCCTTATGCTACACTTCATCTCTTTCTTTCTTTCTTTCTTTTCATTTCTTTTCTTTTTTTGCATTTAAACAAAAATGCACACGTAGCGACATTGCATTTTCATCTAAATTTTAAGTACAAAGCATTAGTAACTTTCTTGCTTTAGAGCAGTTGTGTCTGGTTACAAGAAATGTTTCTTACTAATCCTACATATCTTTTCTACAGTGTTAGTCTTGGTAATATGTCCATTGAAGACATCGTTTAGATTTAATATGGCTGTCACTCAGGACATTTGGTAAAAAGCATTGGTTGAATTGTCAAGGGTACCAACACCTAATATATCTGGGTGCTTTATGTATGGCAAGGATTGCATTAATATTATTTCTGAAAATAGATTTTGAGACCAAGAATTTGTCTTGTGAATGAAATATAGATATGAAAATTGCTGAGAGGAGGAATCAGCCTAATGAAATCCTGTCTCATTCCTGCCAACTTTAGGCAAAATTTCACCAATATGAAGGGGAAATATGGACTAACTGCACCAGATTTTGGTTGTGTTCATTAAAATAAGATGCCTTTCACTTCCATGAATGGCACTAAATCAGAGGGACTATTTATGCTGTAATGTACTACTTGCTGTAACAAGCATCATCAGCATCTGTTCCTAAATGCTGATAATAAGTAGCACCTCAGCTATTCTCTACAAAACCCTTTAGAACATTAAATGGCCACATACAACTTAACTTTGACTTTGCTGATTCCTTTTACTTGAGTTTTATTAGGTCTCCACCCCTTTCTTGCAAAGATACTAAAATGTACTAAGAGTGTTTCTATGGTAACACTTCTACGGTTTACTTAATAATAATTTTTTAATATTTAGACATTTTGAAATGGGTAGTAACTTTTATTTTAGTTTTTCTCTGTGACCGGTTTAATTACTATACATAGAAACTGATGTGTGGACAAGATGTATGTTAAGGTGACAAGAGTACATTGTAACTGCAGTATGCAGCTAACGAAAATGAGTGTCATTTACAATAGAAATCTAAGTGTGCTTTCAGATCTACATATTCAGAGCCATATGCTACTCTCTAGTAGGAGGACCAAAAGGGAAGCAGATTGCCATAAATTATGTGAGAAGGGGTTCAAGTTCATGCTATGCTCTATCATCCCATGGCACTATATATATGTCTCTAGCCTTTCTGCAGTGTTTTTGTGGCACAATTACTATAAAGCCTGATGATTAAGGTTAGAATTAGGGACCAGCCTACATATTCCCTGTGCAATGTCCCTTACACAACCTGTTACCATCAAAAACTATGAAAAAGATGTATGTGGAAGAGGGAGACAGGGAGAGCCCAGCAGCAGTCGGTGTCCCTACCACCACTGAGTAGCAATCTCACCTAGGAGAACCACTCTAGCTACACACACAGCCTTGAGACATCCAGGATGTGATGTCACTGACCACATATCTTGCCACAGTGCTACCTCATGTGCCCCATCAGCTGTATACTTTTGAGGGGGAAATGCATTAAACCTTTCTTATAAGCTCTTTTCTGTGTTGTTTCCAGATAGTAGAAAAGGATGTAGTGCTTAATAACAAGGTGAAATTAATGTTTGCCAAAATATAGTGTAAATGAGAAATCAGGTTGATTATGCTGAACAGTTGGATAGGGCAAGAATAAAACTCCAGTTCTTTTCTTTAGAGTGTGTTATGTTCTTGTGGGGGAAGGGAGGGGGACATTTTTGGGTTTTTTGGTTTGTGGGCAATGGTGTATACCTAGAAAAAGTGGGCTTTTTATGAGTTCAACTCTATTCCCATTGATTTTTTTAGTATTAAATCCCCATGGACTTGAGTGACAACCAGGGTTAGGCTAATGCTGAACTCTTTTGAAAATTTTAAGCAAAATACTTACGTTGCTGCACTTTACAGATGATTGGATCTATTTGGAAGGGCATAGCAACACACTTATCTTTCCTAAAAAAGATTTAGCAGTATTCATTTAAGGTAGGTTCTGAAAATGCAGGTGACTTATTCTTTTTACTAAGGGTGATGCACGTTTATGTTGCTTGCCTCCCTCTTGGTACTCTCATCTGATTGAACACAAGTCACAGAACACGTTCTCTGATGGTATTTTGTTACAAACAGTTCATGTCGTGCTTGTGTTTATGCTGTACTCTGAACCCTATTTGTCTAATTTAAATTGCCTTCTGTTTGAATTAATGCTATTTTTTTATGAGATCAAGGTGGCCATGAGCATGTCACAAAGCATGTTATACAGAAAAAGTCTCTTTCAGTGATCCTCAGTAAATATACTGTATATAAATATTCAGTGGGCCAGAATCTCCTAACAAATACTTGTATGTAAGCTCAGTAGAAGGCAGTAGAAATTGATTTTGATGTGGTTGCCTAATGTGTAGGAGATGAGAAATGGGCCAATATTCCTAGCCTAATGGAACATTGGCAAATGAATGGTCTCATAATAATCAAAATATACTGAAATCAGTATACATTATGCACTTAAATTCGATATGATGTCAGTTGGACAGGATGTTTGGATCTATGGTGTGATTCTCTTTTAAGGTACATTTATACTGACAGATTTCTGCTACTGGTTTAACAGTGTAATAATGTCTTCATGTTGCAAATTCTTAGTTAAGAAATTATTAGAAATAAGAAGCTTGATGCCTACCCAATAATCTCATTCCCTCTGTAAAATTAAATTGAACAATTGTTGTCTTTGAGGACCAAGTATCACAACAGCAGCATGCTGGATTGCCAGCTATTTGTGTACTCAAGATGCCAAGCCCCAGGCTGGAGAAGACATGCTGAACCTCCAGGGAAAAAAGGCTAGATCATCCACTCCTACAACAAGATCTGGCAGCTAATCTAAACAGCAGTGGTATCAGCTTTGTAAGGAACGGTTTGTCTGCCTACCAGTTCAGAGGTGAAGCTACTCTTTAGAGAGGAAATAGCAAAGTGATTTTTTTTTGAGTGGAAAATCAAGAATATATGGAAATATTGTAATTTAGCCTAAATCGCTAAAATACTTGTAAAAACATGTCAGAAAAAGAATACTTCACTCATTTAGTCTGCAGAAGTCCATAATGTCATTTGGTACTGCATGGTTCAAATAGAGTAGTTTAAAGCTATTTTTGTCTAAAAGATTAGGAATATGTGATAAATACTCAAAACTCAATTTGGTTTTTGGATATACGTGTGTTCATTAACAGGTGTCAGATGTAGTAACTTACTGTGAATGTGATCTGAATGTACAACAGTCATTAGTCATGTTAGTCTGAAGTCAGGTAGAAGGTAGGGTCTGCTGGCATTTGGTGAAGTAGGTTGTTGCCTACAAAAGCTCATGCCTTTTCAAAATTGTTAGTCTCTAAGGTACCCCCTGTTCTGCCTTCTGCCAGTTACAAGAGGCCAAATCCTGCAGTCCTGCCTGAGTCTCTACTAAGGCAAAACTCCCAATGAATTTAGTAGATCTTGTAGGATTAGAGTCTGTTTATGCTTTTTTCCTTGCTGGAGGGTTTATTTTCATGCATAAGCCCTGATCCACTAAAGTACTAAGTTGGATGTTGGGCTTTGAAGTACACAAGTAGATCTGCTTGGGGAATTTAGAGATGTGGGATAAAAAAACTGCTCTGAACAGTGCAGGGCCTCTAATCTGGCATCTTTCTTATCCTGAAACACTGCCCTAACCACTGGACTATCGATTAAGAGAGAGTGTCTCTTCCGACTCTCGGACACTCCTCAGAAGTGACTGGAAAGTGTTGGACCCAAAAAACTTCTTGAATTGAACGTCTCAGGTTTTAATCTGACAAAAGACAAAGGGACATGACTCCATTTGGTGAAAACATTTAAAAGGTTTTAGTTTTTATTCCAATGCAGAATGAATACAGACTTTGAACCCTTGTGGAAATGAGGCACGAAGCACCTGGAGAATACCATATAGCTGTCTAACAGGGGTAGTCCTGTAGACTTCAGTGGAAATTGCTTTCTTGCTCACACTTCAGCACCTGTGTAAGCACCTCACTGTATCAGGATCTTAATGCCTTGGCATGGTTGTGTTGTACAGTTTTGTGCTGCTGTTGAAAAAGAGAAAAAAGTCAGAGTCATTCTACCAATTATTAAGAAACAAATAAACAAACAGCTTTAATTCTGGTTATAAGGCATTAATCTATGAACTATTGTCCATTTGGTCCTGGTTTACAGAGTTAAAGAGTCTGATTCTCATTTTATACCTTCTTTTTGTGTAATTGAATTACACAAAATGAGATCGGAATGAGGCCTGTATTTTCTTGCTTGGATTTAATATAATAAATAAGTGGAATATGTAAGAGGGAGCCTACTTTTGCCTAAAGATATTTAAAAATGAGTCTATCAGTCTTCTTTCAGAACTAGTAAATTGCATATCAGTATATTGAAAACCTGACTGCCTAGTTGTAATTAAATCTTTGCTGGCTTTTTCATACTAAATTCATTTTTTGCTGTTCTTTATTGTAGCTTGGCTATTTGAAATCAATTGTAGGATAACATGTCAAAGACTGATCCTTTTTTGTACAAGTCCCTTCTTGTACAAGTAATTCTTTGTCATATGAATGTTCCCTTTGAAGCCCTAATATGACTATTAGTCAGTCAAGTATAAAAAGCTAGTATATATGAGTGAAGCCAACTAAAAATTACTAGTCAGCCTTACAGTACCTTTAATTTTTCCATGACTTCTATTGACTTCCAGACACAGAAGGCTAGAATATTCTTTTGGGCTATGTGGCATGCATGCTTTTTCCTTTCTTTTTAAGG